ATAATATGCTCGTCCTCAGCTAATATATTCAGTTGCGCTGAGGCGGTATTCTTCCACTTACTCTCAAAGTATCTTAAAAACGTTACCGTGATATTAGCTTCGTTCAGGAAGTCCCTCATTGCTGCCTCAGATGAGACATTTCTGTTCATTCCATGCACATAAAACCACCTGATCTTCCGTCCTTGTTGTCTACGGTACATGAATCCAATGAATTTATCTACTAAATACATTTAGGCACAGGATTACATAATGAGGTAGGAAAGTGAACTTGTATCCTGTGCTCTACATGATCTGGTTTCTGAGAGTTATTAACCCTTTTATTAGTAATATCACCGCGAGGACTCATATTTGTCGCCTGAACTCTGGAAGCGCAAGAAATCCTGCGCAGTTGCCGCTGGCTAGAAGCAAGGTTGCAACTGCCAGATTCCGAATCTGTGTTTGTGGATAACAGAAGAGTTGTTGCATGTTGCTTTACCTTTTCAGTCGAAGGCACTGTATTGCTGACCTCTGTCCTTACGGCGTTACTTCCAGTTGCAGTATCACGACTATCCGACTCGTTCGTTAATGGCTGGAAGCGATTTGACAATCCAACATCCGAAGGTGTGTTTAGTTGTACATCAGCCGTCGCTTGTGAAGGACCCGGATTATCCTTGACGAAACCCGGATTGGGATTGACGCCACTCATCTTAACAGAGCGTTTTACATTGTATATTGGTCACCTGGTCCCTTAGATGTGATGTGATGTGTGTGGGCTAAAAAGGGTGAGATTGATTCTCCAATCAATCCTCCAACATGCAAAAAGGGCAAATTACCAATCTGCTGTATGGAAAAGAGCTCTTGACGCTTCACCCAACGTTCAAAGTCCTGTAGGTAATGGGTGGAACAAAGATGGCAGTGACCTAGTTGCCAACTGGGGTGATGGACTACCAGCACCTGATGCTGTCATGGTGCTTTTGTCTTGTGACTGCAAAAGAATGTGTGTTGAGGAGACATGCTGTTGCGGTCAGAACAAACTGAAGTGCACATATTTATGCAAACTAACTACATGTGGAAATCAGGGCCCAGAAGAAGATGACAATTTAAGAGATTTTAACACTGACAATGATGATGATTCAGATGTTTCAGATTATGATATGGATGATAGTGAATAAATAGCTTTCATCAGAGGGACACTTTAGATGAACAGAAATCTTTGAGCACAGTACAAGGTTTGAATGATATATGAAGGTAATTTTCAAAAGCGCTGATAAAACATGTTTTATATCGATCATGGTATACGATTTACTTATCCTCAAAGCATACAATCAAACTGCTAGTACAGAGATAAAAGTACTATTTCATATTTATAAATACTTATAGATATTTATAAATGTATTTAGAAGTGGCTAATTGATAATTACAAATGATTAAAATGTTATTTCCAACAATAAAAATAGTTTTTTGGCCAAATTTAAGCTTCACCTAACTTTCATGACCTTTTGACATCTAGTGACCTAATTATCAACCTTATTTGCATAATCGATATATCACCATATAGAACTCATCAAGACAATCATTTTGAGTGGTGAAATGTTATTATACACCTTTTAGAACAGACGTTGATTGAGTTTATATTTCCCCTACCCCAATTTTGAGTTATACAGAAGTACAAATGCAGAACTTGACATGCCAACTTTAAAGGCGAATTACTACCATTAAGCTGTGAGTTCTGGATTGCTATCAAGTGGTTTCATAGTCCAGAGATATAGCAATTTCAGAAAAAACATAGGTAGAATTTGTCCCTTTTTTGGTACCAATTTTCGTCTCAGCACATGGACTATAAGACCTTTCGCTTGTGAATCGTCAAATCGACTGGCTATAAGAACACAATCCGCTACCTTTTCCGACACTCCTGCGATCTCAGTCCATAGATTATGGAGTTTCTTGCCCTGATCTGTGTGTACTTTGGTGAAGGATGTGCTCGTTTCAGTGATAGTTTTACAAGCTTCCGTAAGCTTTGTCTCTATACAGTCTTTCTCTTCCTTTAAGTTATTAATATTTGCCTCTTGTAGATTAATAGGTTCCCACAGTTTAATGTATTCTTTTTCTAACCCGGTCAACTTCTCCTTACTCTCTTTTTCACACTTCATGACCTGCTCTTTCACCGCTTTCAAGTCAGACAGATATTTCTTACTCCTGTCCTGTGCGCTATCTCTTTCTCTGTAAAGTTTTTCAATTTCTTTCTGTAGTTGAACGACTTTTTCCGTAGTTTCTTTGTAGTTACACTTAAGATCATACAAGTCCCTTTTAAAGGTAGCTATATTTTCAGAGAGAATATTCATTCCTGCCATGTTCTCCTCATACCCTGTAGGTCTCCTTGAAACGCTCTCTGTCCTTCTGCTTCTTGTTTCTACTACCTCCATAATTTCTTCGGTATATTCACCTTCAAAGGCACGTATTAAGACGAAGCAGTCCTTTGCGAGCTTCTTCTGTACCGAAGCTGCACCTGTTTTCCTAGCTTCTAACTTTTTTCTAAGATAACCTTCCTTTACTGGGAAATCGTCCCTGGTACATGCTTTCCTGAATAAGTCTTTCCTTTGGTCTGTCTTTTATCTTGTCAATTTCTAGCATTATATGGGATGTGTCAATTACTGACTCAGATACATTTGCCGTTACACAGTCATCTTGACATCTGAAACTGGAGTCCGGAGTACTACTATATACAGACCCGTTCAACATATTAGGCGCTGGTACCTGTCCGTTTTGTCAATCACTACAAATACTTGACATATCTACAGGGGTGAGTTCAGTAAAACGCATACTGCTTAGATCCAAAAAATCACTTTGAGACTCGTATGCCATTATTCTCTGATGAGCGTGTAAATAAAATTATATAGGAAGAACGCGTAGTAGAATAATGCAATATGTGTTTCGGAGAGCCCAAATCCTGAACTGTTCATTAAATTCCGAGTTTATCATAAAGTGATGATGTGGATATAAATAATTTCATAAAGACGTGGTTTTGACAGAAATAATTGGTCTCTATCCCAGGTCGTGTGTTCGTTCTGCAATGAGTACATTTCGGTGATCCAATGTAAACACTTTGGCGCCAATAGAGCGTGACGAATAGGCGGCTATAGAGGTAAATTATACAGTCGATTGAGTTTTCACCTGTGTACGTGCGCGTATGATACTACATACATATAGAGCTCGTGTCTTTTGTAACTTTTAAAATACAACTAACTCGAGTGAATTAAACGCCGTATCCAACAACCACTCGTTGTGTATTCTGTTTCTACCATTTTTATTTCGAGATCAAAGGCGGTAGGCGAAGACCAACACATGTATACGTGTGTAAACAATTTGCTGACATATGCAAATTTGGCGTAGAGATATCACTCGGAGTGAAAAGGCTCCAATTAATATTCAAAAATATATATTATGATACATAATTTATTTCTTTATAAAGTTCACAATTTTAAAGTTTACACACAATAAAACAATGACGATTAGTTGTCTTGTAAACTTGAACTGTCTATATAATCGTAGAAAATCGCGGACTATATTAGGCGCACTTTTATACAGACACATATAGTGGTATCGTCTGGTTCCCGCCGGAAACTTCAAACTCAATCACTATCAGAATCAGAGTACAGCACCCTTGGTCTGGGACGTTTATAGACGTTTGTATTGTTAATGTTTATTGTGAATGAACCACCTTGAATAGGACCTTCAAATACTGAAGATAGGGCACCAGTGGGATTTGCAGACACAGTTGATGCAGGATTTGGAGGTCTGACGATGACTTCGCTTGCACTAGATGCATGTGCTATTAGCCAGGTATCGATCTAAACTACAGGCTATACTTCTGATAGAGGCAGGTTCATATTCCTGGCCATCTAGATCCCGCACATTCATGAAAAATATACTCAGCATTTGTTTAAATGCGCAGGGGGTATAATTTCAACTGGCCGCACTTCTCTAAGGACGTTTTTTAGGTATTCATGGACTTTTGTGACATCAGCGTCAGTTTCTTTTTTTTGTGTTCTTGTTTACCTCCGACGCTATCAATCCATCTATATCAAAATCGTCCAGGAAATCGTCAGACAAACCGTTCTGAGTATCGATATTTTGGGATATAGTAACGGTTTCAGACAAAGTATGGGACAAACTCATGTCGCGGCCCGGACAAGCCGGTATCACGTTTTTCTTTGATCTTTTCCTGGTGATAAATCCCATACCATGAGATATTTCAAATATCACATACCGCATGGTTCTCTCTGATTGGTCAACACCTCATTAGGGAGGTGGTGCCCATTTCCAAGTGGGCGAAACAGATATACAAAGACATAGGAAAGATTTCGAACAAAACTTTAATACATAAAAAAATATAAAAAAACAAGAGAGATTGATATTCGTCGTTTTGACGTTAGTTAACACATTTAAACAGTTATGTAAAAAAAAGTACAACACGTTACTTATGCGAGAGCAGAGATCGGCGCATGAACGCTATTAGCCCTACTTTGAATAAAAGTTCACATACTTGTCGACGGCCTGTGATAATGTTATATCAAGATCGCCGAAAACACCGGCGTCGATGTTTCTAAAGTCTTTCCATACGTTGTCCAGCTCCAACATCTCCGACATCTACTAATGAAATGAATTTTACTGTGACAGGAAATGGAATGGGTAAGAAAATAGCGGGAAAATCATCGACTCGACACTTGACAGTAATCGGCTCCTAATAGGTTCTAGCTCCGCCCCTTGGCACGTGGATGAGAAACCCTCGGTGGTCATTGGATAAAACAGATACATAATTGACACTCGTAACTTCGGACTCGCGTGATATGTATGGGATTTCAGGCCATCACATTTGCTATTCTGTGACCAAGATCAAAATAGTTTTACTACTCCGATGTTGCTTTTCAAACATATCGATATTAAGTGACAAAATGAATAATTTTGTTTCGTTTTTGATAAAGTTATAAATATAACCATATCTAACGTACCAAACACGATATATAAAAAATGTACCAGACATTTGGGCGTCCAGTAATCTCCGTTTTAATCACATGACTATTGTCTTAAAATGTCAACTGTTTTTGAATATGTACTTCGCGTTGGTTGAAACCGTTACCATGACGACTGTGTTGGAAGTGATGTCAGTCTCCAGGGTGTGATAAACACGTGTTAATGTGTTGGCGGTGTCTTTGCTCGTGGTCCACACGTGCAGAATCTGTTTCTCCCATTTCTCCATAGAATTCTTGGTTGATTGTACGACGCCTGTAAATGATATTTCATCCAATGTAATTTCTCTTTTAACTTCTCTTTTTCGTGAACTTTAAAACTACGATTATGTTTATCGTTTAGCATAAAATGCTAATTCAGTAATTCATATTTAAAAAGTCCATGCTTTCGTTTCACCTGTATTCATTTTAGTTTAACGGTAAATCAAAACTTGGCCTTGTTTTAATGTGAAGTTTGAAGTTCGTGCAATTATATGAATGCAATATACTTGAAAGATCATACTCCAAAAGAAAAATGGCAAATCAAATTATTTCAAAATATGTAGCTTAATTAATCATATTTTACATAGACATTCGGGTAGTTTTTTCCATATAATTACCTTTCAGTTTCTTAGTTAATAGCCTGTTAGCATCTTCATCTGTGTATTCTCCATGATACTTCATTGCCCTGGTAACAGACACGCCCACCTTGTGTCCGAATATATCACACACATAATCTGTGATTGATCCGCCCATAGGGAAGTAGTCAACCTCCATCTCGGTCTGTAATTGTAATTTATATATATTCTAGATGTCTTTAAAATATTTACTCAGTATAATTAAAAAAATCAACTTCTGCATGTAACAACTAACCAAAACGTCCTATTTACCTAATTGATTCGCAGATTTAACACTTAGGTCAGAGGTCAGACTTTCGATTTTAATTTGATATATTACATTTTGAGTGTATTCATTTTATTGTCAGGTTCTTTACATCATGGACAATTTCTCTAAGAGGAAATATCAGGTACCCTGTATATCAAAAGTCACTTTATAAAGAATATTGAAATCTGAAAAAAATGACATAGACACGCACCTTCAGCAGTTTGGCATTGAAACATCTCCGAAACAGCTCGAAAGAGAGCACTTCTGACACCACGGAGTTTCCCCCGGCGTTTGGAACTGTTGCCAACCGTATGGCAGCTATTGATAGCGTCATCTCTTTTAACTTTTTATGGGGATAGAAATTGTTATGAATCATGCCTCCTGCTGAATTATCTCCCATCAATTTCACGAAGCTGAAATACTGCTGAAGACAGACTGAAAAATTCTCTCCGACATAAATATTACATTGGGTCCTTGTGGAAGAGAAGTTCAGATCGTTCCTTGAACCCTGACGCGAAAGTGCGACACTTTTCCCATTCCTCTTGTCGAGGCAAACTTTTAGGGGTAGTACCGATTCTTTCCGACGAGTTGGAGAAACACTGCTGCTTTTGCTGACAGCGGCGCGCCGTCGTGGTAACCTTCGTAAAAAAGTACCCCCTCGTGGGCCCCTGCGCTCGACGGTTATTGCCATTTCGTTGTCGATTGAGATGTGTCATTGCCATTCGATTGTTGTGTTTTCTGTGTGTGGATTCGGTAGCCATCAAGTGGGGTTGACTCGCGAAGTTTAGACTAGGTAAAACGGGTGAAAGACTCTTACATACTGATATTTAAAGAACTGTCTGGCGGAATGAGGCACTGTGATTATGCTAGCTTGTTTATATACGACCGAGGATAGACCATCACGTCAATACTATTTTAGGTTTATTTAAGACAAATGAACCAATCAGGATCATGCCCAAAAATAACAACTAATCAGATCTCGGTAGAGTGACGTCAGTGTATTTTTAGAACCGGAACAAGTATTGTTATTTGATGATGAAATATCTATGAAATGTACAATATCATTGAATGCATGTGATAAAAAGCAAATTTATATTGATAAGGTACTCGAGTATCTACGTTATTGTATAAAAGTCATGCGCACACGATGAACGATTTTATGATGTATGCATTTTGCAAATTGTGTAGATTTTGTATGAAGATAGCGAACGATTTAAGATGAAGTCTGTAGAAAACAACCTTCGTTTTTCCATTCTCACTCTCGCCCGTCCATATTTTAATTCTGTCTACCTTATTCTAGAAATATAGTCTTTGCCATGTATATTGTAAAATAATCAAACGAGGCAATGGATCTAAGCGAGATAACTCTTACTCATATTTTATGTAAAAGGGACGATAACCCTTGCAACCATATAAAATATGGAATCTGTTTACCTAGCGGATTGGTGGGTAGAGTTTTGTTTATGTATAACATAAAAATGTAAGAGTGGAAAGAAAACGCGAAAAATCATATTAAATGAGGACAAAATAGTTATAATTAAAATGCACGTGAAAGAAATGTTGGTAAAAATATTTTCATCTCACGTAATGTAGTAATCATAGGTTATGGTAAAAAATGTTAGTTTGTTCGAAATATTATGAAGAGCGGTGTAACACGGACTATTATTGTGGGAGGTGTAACACGGGTTATTATGGTGGGAGGTGTAACACGGACTATTATGGTGGGAGGTGTAACACGGACTATTATGGTGGGAGGTGTAACACGGGTTATTATGGTGGGAGGTGTAACACGGACTATTATGGTGGGAGGTGTAACACGGACTATTATGGTGGGAGGTGTAACACGGGTTATTGTGAAGGGAGGGGTAACATGGACTTTTATGAAGGGAGGTATTACACGGGTTATTATGAAGAGAGTTGGTACACGGGTAACTTTGGAGAAATGTATAACACGGTTTATAATGACAGATGGAGCTTTTACATTGGTTATTATGGAGAGATGCATAACACGGGTTATTATGAAATTGGTGCAACACGGGTTATTATGGAGAGATATATAACACCGGTTATTAAGAAGGGAGGTGTCACACGGGTTATTATTAAGGGTTGTATCGCGGTTTATGAAAGGATGTGTAACACGGGTTATTATTGTAATAGGGTCATATTTTGTATACTGGTAGTGATTCCTGTAGTATCTATATTTTGTATTGTAGTATATATTTATATATATGTACTGGTTATGTACATGTGTGTAATATTTATCATCGCGAACACATCGTTAGTGTCATGTTTTACCTGCGCGTAACGTTTATACGTATTGGCGAGCGCGTCCCCTTGTGTAGTGTATATGTATGTACCTGTGTACGTGACTAATGTTCATTGACCGACTGAACACAAGACATTTGACGGACTTTGACGAAGGTGTTTGATTGGTTGAAAGTTTCTCCTGGGTATACCTTTTTTTGTCTTTTACTATATCGGGGGACATTTGAATCCTGGCTTGCGGGTTAGACGGATGTTCAAATGTCAGGTTCCTCGGGTTTTGTCTTTATGGTAAGTTTTCTCTAACTTTATTTCTTTCTAGTTAAAGTATTTCTTCTAATATATTCTCCCTGTGAGTGATGAGAGTTTGTATGGACAACATAATGTTCAATGATATGTTTAAAGGTAACTGAACCTTCAGGGTAATATTTGGAAACAACAATGTATATGTATTATAATATTCGCAAGTCCTATACTTTACGAATGTATAAGCGTTATGCATTTCTTGCTTGAAGTATTCTGTAAATTCAATAAGAGGTTATTCCTTATGTGTAGTTCTACTATAAATGACGGATGAGGTGATATTGTGGTGTGCTGCAAACTTATATATGACTTGTACATTAGCGCACGATACGTGTTGTAAGTGTGATTTTACTTTATTACTATTGGAATGGTCATATTATAAAGTATTTAATTGGTTCTGATATTTTATTCAAATGTAGAAGTATTAATATTGTTTCACTCGGTGAAATGTAATGTGTTAATGAAAGAAGAGTATGAATTGTTGATTATGTAACGAGCGATTTGTGAAGTTGTGAAAATGTTTGATTATGTTTGTATATTCCACAATGTCTATTTTACATCGATTAAACATTGAACGAACCCAGCGGTTTTGGTTTTGTTTGTTTTATTTTTGGCACAACACCACCCGCTACATTATAAAGGGAGGTATCAAATTGGTAATTATAAAGGGAGGAATGAAGAGATATGCGTAACACGGGTTATTATAAAGAGAGTTCTAACATAGGATGCCATGAAGGGAGATGTAACACGGGCAATTATGAAGAGAGGTGAAACACAAATTGTTATGAATGGCGGTGTAACGTGGGTTATTATGAGCAGGAGAACAATACAGGTTATGGAGGTAGGTGTAACACGTTTAATTATTAAGGGAGCTGAAACACGGATAATTATGAAGGGAGCTGTAACAAGGGTAATTATGAAGGGAGCTTTAACACGGGTAATTATGAAGGGAGCGTTAACACGGGATGTTATTGAAAGAAGTGTAACACGAGTTATGGAGAGATGTATAACACGAGTTATTATGAAGAGAGGTCACACTATGAAAGTTTTTTTTTTCTTTTTTAAGATATTTATTTTAGAGATCTCATTATTCTGGAAAATGTTCATTCGCTTTCAGATGGGTTATACTTATTATAATAAGAATCTTTTTCTCCCTTCTGAACACAAACTCGTTTGTATTTACGCCTTATTTCCTTGGCGTATTAACTGATCAGATAGCTTCAGATGAGTTTATGTTCCCTGTGTTGATATCACCAATTATATTATTGGTATTCTTTGCTTCGTCTGTCGTTTTAACCAAATATATCATTGGTGTTGTTTGTTCCCTGTTTCGATCACACCAAGTATGCCATTGGCGCTCTTTGTTTCTTCTGTTGATATCACCTGGTTTATTGTTGGTATCCGTTGTTACCTGTTGCGATTTCAACAAGTATTTCATTGGTGTTTTTTGTTTTTTTTGTTTCCTCTGTCGATATCACCAAGTATGCCATTAACTTCCTTTGTTCCTTGTGTCGATCTCGCCAATTATGTCACTGATGTTTTTTGTTTCCTCTGTCGATCTCACCAAGTATGCTATTAATTTCCTTTGTTCCTTGTGTCGATCCCACCAATTATGTCACTGATGTTCTTTGTTTCTTCTATGAATATCAGCTGATATGTCATTGGTGTTGTTTGTTCCCTGTGTTGATCTAACCAAGTATGTCATTTGTGTTCTTAGTTTAATTTTTCAAACCACACATGACAAAACATAACAGTAACTAATATGGATTCACGTATAGGCTCACTCAATCGCTCAATCATCATCATCATCATCATCATCATCATCATCATCATCATCACCATATCATCATCATCATCATCATCATCATCATCATCATCATCACCATAATATCATCATCATCATCATCATCATCATCATCATCATCATCATCACCATAATATCATCATCATCATCATCATCATCATCACCATCACCATCACCACCACCATCACCACCATCATCATCATCATCGTCATCATCATCATCATCATCATCATCATCATTATCATCATCACCATCCATCATCATCATCATCATCACCATCATCACCATCCATCATCATCATCATCATCATCATCACCATAATATCATCATCATCATCATCATCATCATACACACTTAAAATTATCTAATTCCCCATCATTGCCATGATCATCCTCATCGAAATTATCAACAACATATCTTACATTATAATCATCTTCAGTATCATCTGCTTATAAACACCGATTTCCAATCAGCCAACAATCACACAATGTTACCATATTTTCAAACATCATCAACAAGCCAATCCTCCACTGATAGAGAGTATGTTTAGATATCATCAATGATTCAATATGTTAGCCTTGTATTAATTTCATTATTGCACAATCGTCATCAATCAATTTATCATTTCATCTTTTCACACTCATCAATGCCATAGACATCAGACATTACTGCAACATTCATCAACATCATGAAGTTTTAACGCCGATCTTCTGTTCAATCACTAAAAATTCATGAGAGACTGCTATGTGAAACTCTATTTACTTTGGAGCAAGAGTGTGTGTGTTTTTGTTTTTGTTTTGTTTTTTTTAGAGTAGAAAAAGGTAGAAAGGCAGAGAGATAGATAGAAAAAGAAAATGGGGTAAAGCAGGCAAAGTAAAATGAAGGACAAGAGAAATTGTCTTTGGGTAAGCAGTTCTATAAAAAATATTTTCACATGCCATGAGTCTGGGGCAAATGGTGTCAAAATGAAAAGTCACGCTTACCGGATAAAAGAAAAACAAGAATTCCATAGAAATGTATGTGTTGCCTGCCCTGGACAATAATGTAATTATAGTAAGAGTATTTTTCCATTTTTTCCACTCTTCATTGAAACGTTCGAGAGAGTGATCTCCCTTACCAGTTGTTATATATTTTGAACTTCATAATGATCCTTTATTAAGTTTACGAGAGTATTTATATTCAGAGTATTGTTTAAACACCTATTATTATGAATATACTGCTTAATAATGATATTAATCTCATTGTCACTATTATGATACACATTTCTCACAGATAAAAAACCAAATACAAAAGACTCTTTGTTGATAGTAAAAGGGATAGGTAGTGCTTCCAAAAGTACTTCTAAGCTCTGTAAGAAATTCTGAACCCTTTCACATTCCCAGAGGATATGCTTGATATTTTCTGTTTCAGATTTACAGAAAGTACAGAGTGGGCTGTCAACTAAG